GGTCTTGCGGTTAAAGAAATGGATGAGGACCCTGGAGATGGCGGCTCAATTCCGAGCGCTGCCACAAATTCCCCGTGTGACCTTAAGCAGGTCGCTTAATGTCTTTGCGCCTCATTTCCCGCCTGCAAAGTTTGCAGAGCGCTGCCCTCCCTCGTGTCGGGGCTGCCGCCAGCCCTGGGGCAGCGCAGCCCTCTCCTCCTGCCCTTCCTGCAGCAGAGCTGACGTGGGGCGGCTCTACGGCCCCATGTGTGCAGGGATCAAGTGCACACTTGAGCTCGAGGGCAGCCGGTCCCGCTGTGCCCTCGCATACAGAGGGCATTTACTGCAGGCTGCCATTTCACAGAGGAAAGATTTTGTTTGTGGATCACTCCGGCTTCGCAGCAGATGCGAGCTGACCTAGCGTGAGCGCACTGCTTGCTGCCCGCCTCAAACAGACGGTCGCTTCTGTTGCTCGCTCTGCCGTTCTCTTGTGCTCCTGCTGCTCCCTCTGAAACAGGGGTTTGTCTGACAGAGCAGCTCCCTGCACTCATGTTCTCCTTGACCCCAACGCTGCTCGCGGCCTTTCTGCAGAAAACTCCTCCGGGGTTAAATTTTCCTCGTGCTTCACCCTTTCCCTGAGGTGCAGAGCGGCTTGGCTGCTCTAGCAGAACAATGAAACAGGACCTGCTGGGGCTCCATGCCAGGGAAGGAAGTGCCGTGCGAGCGAGCACAGCAGTGCCCGGTGCTGCATCCTTCTGAGCACCTTTGGCGAGAGGCGCTCGGAGCGCCGGCCGGCGTCGCAGGGCGCCTGCAGCCCCGCGGGGTCCCGCAGCCTCGTGCCGCCCTGCACACAGACCTTGGGAAGGCCTCTGCGCGCGGACGGTGCATGGAAGCTGCCCGCAGCCCTGCCCGGCTGCAGCCCTGCATGCCGTGGGCACGGGGCTCTCTGCCGGTCCTGGAGCTCCCCCGTGGGAAGCGCGCYGGGAAGTGCAGGGCGCTGGCGGCAGCGCGGAGCTGCGGGGAGCGAGCGCGCGGCAAGGCCATTGCCGGCCCGGAGCTGCTGCCTTGCGCCCACGGAAGCCCAGAGCTCTCCAAGGAGGTTGGGAACAGGTGGTTCTTGGTGGAACGAGTGATCCCTGCAGGGACATGTCCTGCGCCGGTGCCTGCGCGGCACTCCCTGCTGTCCCCATCCCCTCCTCCCTGCAGGGACACTTGGTACAGCACTGCCAGTGGGTGCCCTGTGTCAGGGCACTGTGGATCAGCCTCTGCACCGGGACCCGGCGATTCTCATCCTCTCTGTTGGCATCCGTAGCAGGAAGCGGCAGGGAGACCCTGGCCATGCGCCGCGGAGGGGACACGGCGGCGATGGGTGCTCCGGCGGGGTCCGCAGGGCGCGGGTGCCACCAGGTCCCCACACGTGCCTTGGATCAGGCGCGTGCAGGGCAATTTTGCACGTCCTTGTTTTGTCCTTTGGGGCACTCAAAGTGTCACTGGGATTTCACTCTCCTGAAGGCTCCTCTGTCAGCGAGTTATTCCGCTAAAAGGGTATCCTGAGCGGGAGGAGGGCAGCACGTGAGGGTTTCTGTGCCCGGCAGAGCGTGGGCACTGCGGGCACCGCTCCGGTTTGCTTCGCGATGCCGGCTCGAGCTGCAGCCGCAGCCCGGCCACAGCCTTCCCTGTGCTCCTTTGCAGGCGGGAAAACCGGCATCTTCCCTGCTCGTTCATTAAAAGCACATTAAGGAAAAGGTCTAATGGCAGAGTAGCTTATGAGGGAAGATTTGACGAGCACTTAGCAATTAGCGCGCTTAGAAAACAATTGCTCCCTCCGAAATCTGCGTTTTAATCTTGCTCCTATTTGCTGTGTGTCACATCCTAGGCTGTGCTGCTGCATCCCCGGCCTTGTGTGCCCAAGCTCGTGACAGCGGTGCCTCTCCGGGGCTGCAGAGTCCCCCGCGCCGCGGGGAGCTCAGGAAGGGGAAGGCAGTGTTGGCATTAACATGCACACGGAGCTGCTGTGGGATTTGACAGAGAGAGGGATCCCCTTGCCGTCCGTGCTGAACACGTCCTGCATGATCTTGGGCAGGTATTTATACATGCTCAGTGGATATTTGGAGGTTCTCTTCTCTCCTCCAGCTATAAATAGTTAGGAGCTCCATAGAGCGTGGCAGAAACGTTGGCTTTTGTGCCTGGAAAAAGGGAGGCAGGRAGGACTCCCCAGCAGGAGCGGCTGTTTCGGCGCCCAGCTGCGCCGCTGCCGTCAGGAGCGCGGCCGGCCGGGTGCGACGCTCCGGCACCGCCGGGTCCCACGCTCCGGTGCCACCACACTTCCCGCCACGCGGGGCTGCTGCCCGGGCAGGGGGGCCGCGCGGAGCCTGCTCGGAATGGGCGACGCRCTCCTGTCGCTCGCCCTGCGCTCGTGTCGCTCAGTAATCCGCAGTTACATTATTAATGTAGCATTAAAAGGACTCGAGGCCTCTCAGCAAATTCCTATTTCAAATAAATAATTACTGGAGCCAAGATAATTTATTAAATTAAATTGAAAAACCCAGACGCAGTCTATATTTGCCTGGGAGTAATTTTTTAACTACCGTGGCCGTATAACGGCAGCGTTATTTATATAAGGCTGTCCCGAGGCTGCCGTGGTGCYGGCACGCCTATGCGCCGAGCCATGCAGGAGCGGCCCCGTGCGCGGCGCAGGGCCACGCGGCAGCTTCCGCGGCTGTTTGCACCCCGGATCTGCCGCGTTCCGCTGTGCGGGGGGCAAGCAGGTGACTGACCGCAGAGCGGGTTGGAGTCGCCCTTCCCGCTCCAGCTGTGCCGGGCAAAGTCCTTCCTGCCCTCGGTGCCGCGTGCCGCCGGTCAGAGCTGTGCGCACCGCAGTTAAACACGCATCCTCCTCGTGGCTCACACCTACAGCAACCGGGCAAGGAGCAGAGCGCTGCGGGGCGCGTTGCAGCGTTTACATCCACCTTGCTTTTACAGAGCCAGGAGGCAGAGCTGCGGGGAGCGCAGACGGGGCTCCCTGCCGCGCGCAGGGGACGGGGGCAGGCGCCGCGCGGCCTCCCGGCAGCCRCCGCCACCGTGTTCACTCGTGTCTCCTTTGCTGGTCATTACGAGCAAGTCGGTTTCAATCAGCTCGTAAATTTTCATGAAGAACTTTGATTAAGTAAATAATGAGGCCACAAGTGCAAACTGTTGTTTTATTATTCAAAAAGTCCGCAATCACAGCCGCGGCACTGATTGAGCCTTGAAGGAGCTCCCCGCTCCACAGGTAGCTCCTTGTGCTGGGGCCGCTCGCGGAGGGACAGGGCCCTTCCCGAAGTGCTGCTCGCGGGCAGTGTGTGTGGATGTGGGGCGGCTCCTTCTGCCGCTGYTTGCGCAGGACCGCGCGCTTTGTTTGTAACGGGAGAGCAGCGCAGCCCGCGGCTTCWCCCTGGCTGCCGGAGAGGGGCCGCGCCGCACGTCTGGGGGTTTGTGTTCCACGCGGGAGCGAAGCGGTGGCGGAAGAGCCGTTGCCTAGAACAGGGAAGGGGGTGAAACTCCCTTACACGGCGCGGTTGCCTCGGAAGCAGGAGTAAACATCATCCTAAGAGGTATAAACACAGATGGCATACTTCCTTTAAAAAAAAMTGTTGCAAGGAAAATAAAACCCTCTTAAGAAAGATTAAAATATGAAAAGCAGAAAAGGAAGTAGGCCAGAGAAAGAGACGTTAAGGCAAGGGCAGAAAGCTAACGGATGGCGAGTGGAAGGGGGAGGCTGTGTGACGGCGCGGGGCAGGTGCAGCCTGACCCTCCGTCTGCAGCAGCCGCAGCGGCGGCGAGTGGCGCGTCCGCGCGCCAGGGTGGGCTGCTTGGCAGCTCTGGGCAAGCGAGGCTCCGCCTGGGACAGGGATAGAGAATGTCGTGCTCTTCCAAGCCCTTGCACGCTGTCCTCCTGGCTTCGGTCGGAGGGTGACCCCTTGGTGGTGGGTCTGTCCCCTCGGCACCGCGTAGGACGGGGGCTCTTCGAGCACTAACGCGGGCCTTTGGCGCTGGCATTTGCCCACGCGCTGCTCAGCAGGACCGCTGGCATCAGGAAAACATTTCAAGCCCTTCGGAAGAGCTAAAAACAACTAAAGCAGCAGAACGATGCGCCTGCTGCCAGGGCAGGGCTGTCAGCGGTGGTAAGCGAGCGCGCTGCTGCGGCCCGTTGCATGCAGAGTAAATCGCGCTGCTGCCCGCAGGTGCTGCCTGCCCGGAGCAGGGGAGGCTGCGAGCGCAGGGAGCTCGGGGAGCGCAGGGCAGGGACGGAGCGCGCCGGGCCGGCTGCACCGCGCGCGCCGTGCAGGTGCCTCCCTCTAGCGGCTCGTGCAGCCCTCGAGAACGAGAACTGCGTTCTTCATCGCGTAGCCAAACATCATTGTCATAATATACAGGATAGGATTTAGAGGCGCTTTCTTTGGTGATTTAGTTGCACTGAGCTGGTGGTTGTTCCATGCAAGAGGTCTGATTGCAAAGGCCAGGGATGAAATGGAGGTATTGTTGGGAACAGAAAGTGACCTTGCCTTTTGAGAGGGCTCGGGGCGTGAAGCTGGATGCGCTGACCAACACCACCATCTTTTCCCAACCGTGCTCAGCTCCGCACCCTGAGCTCTCGTGCGCCCTTGTCTTGCTGCTTCCCTGCAACAAGAGGATTCYCTGGCACTCACGTGCCAGACGGGAGTGCCGGGAACGCTCAGCGGAGGACAAGGAGGCTCACGGAGCCTCCCTTCCAGGATGCTGAGCGGTGGCAAGTGCGGGGGATGCCGGGGAAGGGCCGGAGCGGGAGGAGAGCCCTCGSCAGCCCCTTGCCCCACCACGTGCAACCTCCGCGTGCTTCTAACCGGAGCCGCGGCACAAAAGGAGGCCCCTCCTGCCCAGCACCTGCGGATGCAGAACGCGGACGTGAGACACCGGGGGGTCCTGCCCCGCAGCAGGACCAGCACAAGCTCGCGGCCAACGCCGAAGGAATGACGCGAGGAAACACCGTCTGTCAACAGAACTGGTTTTATTGGGCAGCGAAAGGTTGCGTCTCAAACCAGATCGAGAGGAGTATCAAACAGCAGGTTTTCCCTAGTACATAGAAACGAAGGAGCTGCTGAGACTTAAACGGGCAGATTTCTTGCTCAAACAGAAAATTGGCAGTAARTCAGACTTTGCTCTGCACTTGAATAACGGGTAGGAAACAAGGTAACGGAAGGGCGCAGCTTCCCAAAAGAACAGCAAACCAAAAAGAACCAGGAGGTATGTGTAGTCGAGGCTGCCGGGCGGCACTGCGAGCAGAGAGATCAGCTGGCACTTTTATCACTTTCTCCGTTCTCTATGAGTTTTCTTTTCTTTTCCTCCGCTTTCCTCTTGAAGATGCTGTCTCTGTAGAACTGGAGTTCTTTGATGCTTTCCCTGATGTCCTCGAGCGCTCTGAAAGAGAAGGACGGGGTTCCGGAAGGCCGGCGTGCTCCCGCATCCACRGAACGGCCACCCCGGTTCCAGGCAGGCTCTGCCAGGGGCCCCTGCCGCGCCGCGGCCGCCCCACCGCCCCAGCGGGCAGCTGGAGGCCTCACCTGTGCGAGGCTGCCTTCTTTGGTGCAAATTCATATTCCTCCGGGTACCAGCGTCTGCAAGGGGAAGAAATGGCAGCTGTGAGAGGAGGAGAGCGCCGCTGCAGTGCCGCCCCAGGCAGCAGAGCCCCCGCGGGCTGCGCTCGCGCCGCACAGCAGCGCCGACGTCGTGGGAGGAACGCTCACCTGCAGAGCTCTTTGACAGTGCTCACATCAATGATGCGGTAGTGCAGGTGCCTCATGAACTGAGGCATGTACTTGTCAAGGAATTTCTTATCTGCGTGAACAGAGTTACCTGCGGAGACGCGGAACACGACACTTCTTCAAAGACAGTACCGAGGTACCGTGAGCGACACCTGAGCTAGAAACGGGCTACGGCAGCTGAGGAGAGATCACAGGGCATAAGGAGCTGCTCGCAAGCAGCTCGTGTACGCTGCGCTCTAGTAAACGTGAGCACCGTGCAGCCTTGTTGGATCTTCATTCCAGGAGCAGACGTGCCCCAAACGTCTCATCCTCCCATGCAGCCATTCAGCTGCTAGTCCTAAAACCGCTGCCAGGCAGGTWATTAATTACCAAAGCGTCCCCCAAAGGTGTGGTGTTGCACCAAGTGCACGCAGGTATCGGTGCGGACACCGCCTCGCCACACTCCTAAGAGCACACGGTCACTCCGTGCAGCCAGGCTGCTGTCAGCACTTCCCTCCCCAGCCCCGTTATAACCCAGCGGGGAACCAGCAATGGCAAAGAGCAGCTGAATTTCCTGCACAAACGAGCTGCAGGGTTTGCAGAGMGGCAGTACCGTGACCGACCCTTCCTCGGCAAACAGCCTGGGCGCTGCACAAACTAGATCTGGGTGCAGGAAAGGAAAGCGCCCTGGCCTCGCCTATGAAGAGGCCCGTGCACATCCAGGCGGGCCCTGCAGGAGGGATGCGCGTGTCCGGATTAGGACAGCACTGCTTTTACCTGCAAGAGGGCAGAGCCCAGGCGGTGTCTGCTGCCGGACGAAGGACAGGAACTCGTACTCCGCCTGCTGCAAYGAAATTTTGCTCTCCTTCACGGCCTTGGTCAGGCCAGACTGCAAGAAAGAAAGAGCCGTAAATCAGACACGTACGACGATGAAGGACATTTGCAGAGACGCCTGACAGCAGAAGATGAGCCCTGAGGACGTTGCCTGAGAGCACGAGAGGAGCACGAGCGCTTGGAGGAGGAGGAGGCAGCGTCAGTGCCCTGGGAACTCTGCTCATTTCCCCTGGGTAGCTCTGGCTGATCTTTGCCAGGGAGAGCCAGAGGCCCCGGGGGAGGCAGGGGGTCAACAGAAGGCTTGAAACTTCACTGGACACTTAATTGGAAGCTACCCTGAATTTCAGTTCATAACCAGGGAGTGGAAACTCCACTCGCTCCTTGGCTACTGGGAAGGAGGCAGCTCTCCTTGCGGACTAAAGGGGATCAAAAAACAAAATAGAATCTCGCCCTGTGAAAGGCAAGGCTTCCTGGAGGAGATAAGCCCGGTTTACAGCGCCAAGGCGGCCTAGGGAACAGAACTAGCGCTGCGGTAAGTTTGCCGAGCAGCGGCCTGTGCCGCGGGCTGCCGCCGCGCGCGGAGGCGACGCGTGCGGRTCCCTACCTTGCCGTGGTGCTCCTTGCACCACTCGGACATGCCGTCCAGGAGCTCGTCGGGCTGCTTGATGATGAGGTGCGGGCCCTGCCGTGGGACGGCACGCGTGAGCGGCGCGCGGCGCGGCGTGGCACGGGCCCCGCGCGCGCCCGCCTCACCTCGGCCAGCACGTTGAGGTCGCAGTCCGTGATGAGACACGCCATCTCCAGGATCTGGTCCTTCTCCACGTCCAGGCCCGTCATCTGGCACACAGCGAGCGCGCGCGCCGCCGTCAGCGCCGCGGCCCCGGCCC